GGCTAGAGATAATCCCGCGGTCTTCATTATGCCTTCCGCAGCTTCCTGGAGGCAAGCCCTGTTTTCTTTTTATTTCCTCTTTGTTGTTGTGTCTTCATTTGTTTGTTGCCAATCTTTCTGTCTTTCTTTCCTTTATCTTGATCTTTTGCTCTTTTTTTTTTTTTTTTCCTGCTAATTCTCGTCTCTTTCTATTTCTTTCTCTCCGTGTCTCTGTCTCTCTTCCCTCCCATGCAATCTCTTGTTTCTTTCTCTCCTTCTCTCCCTCATTCTTTCTCTTTTCCTCTACCATATCTCCCTCTTTCACAAAGTTCCCAATTGAGCCAAAGTTGTGTGTAAATACTTGCTTTATTCTTAATTAGCTAACATTAGTGCATTAGGGTGTCCTTTCCTCTTTTATTCTTAGCTGGAAGTGTAAAAGCAGTATAGAGAGGTAGTATGTGTCATGATGTTTATTCTTGATATTTTTACAGTTAGTTTTGTCTTTTCAAGTGTTATGACTAAGAATCATTACACAGTTGTTAGGTAATGTGTTTTTTTTTTGTGTCTTGTCATGAAAGGATTTTTTTTTCTAGCTTTTTCTTGCCATATTTTTACAGATGTTACTTCCAAAGAAAACTAGAAAGTATTCAGAGCAAGAAAAAAATAACAAGTGTTCCTTTTTTTTTTCTGTTCCTATTATTGTCTTTTTCTCTGTATCTTTTCTTTCCCCTTTTTATTGTTTTTCTTTTTCCTTCCCTTTCTCTCTCTCTCTCTCTCTCTCTCTCTCTCTCTCTCTCTCTCTCTCTCTCTCTCTCTCTCTCTCTCTCTCTCTCTCTCTCTCTCTCTCTCTCTCTCTCTCTCTCTCTCTCTGCCATCCGTCTCCCTCTTTCTTGCTCTTACTTTCTCTCTCTCAGTACCTATATATGAAATAATAGAACTATCAAACAACTGGTTAGTTCTGTATTGATGAATTCTTTTGTATAGAATATATCATCACTGCCTATTTGTATTAGTACAGTTCAGGAGTATTAGTGTTAGGTTAGGTATATGGTGCCAAATTAGTGTAATGTTAATTTTTTATTGACATAATTATTGTTATGGTTATTTATTTTATTTTGTTTATTTTTTCTTTCATTTTCTTTTTTTTATGAAGTTGATTTAAACCAGTATTTTTAAAGCTTTGTGTTGTCTAATGATTTTATTTTATTCTTATATATATATATTTTTTCTCTCTTTTTTTTCTCTCTCTTTTTCTCTTTTCTTTCTTTTTTTTTTCTTTTTTTTTTTGTGAGGGAAAGTTCCTGATAAAGGGAGGCGCAATGAATTGCCTCTTCGTGCAACTGGTCCCACACAGTCACGCTTTTGAATGCTTTGCATTTTGATTGTCTTTTTTTGATGTGTAAAAATTGTATTAAGTTTAAGTAAGGTTCAGATTGGATAAATTGTTTGGTTTTGGTAAAAAATAAAAAAAAAAAAAAAAAAACAAAAAAAAAAAAAAAATCTCAAAGTGTTCACATCCGGTGGAAGTTCTGGGAAACAGATATCTCCCCCACCCCCCCACCCCCCCATCCACCCCCGCCCACCTACTCAAGAGGAGTGCAACGGAATAATCACACCTGTGTCACTGTGTACTGAGGAAGGAAGCTCATTACGTATGCATGGCCTGTGTAAGAAAGGGGCGGAGACTATGCAGATTGATTGTGAAGAAATTAAGGGGCTAGAGATAATCCCGCGGTCTTCATTATGCCTTCCGCAGCTTCCTGGAGGCAAGCCCTGTTTTCTTTTTATTTCCTCTTTGTTGTTGTGTCTTCGTTTGTTTGTTGCCAATCTTTCTGTCTTTCTTTCCTTTATCTTGATCTTTTGCTCTTTTTTTTTTTTTTTTCCTGCTAATTCTCATCTCTTTCTATTTCTTTCTCTCCGTGTCTCTGTCTCTCTTCCCTCCCATGCAATCTCTTGTTTCTTTCTCTCTTTCTCTCCCTCATTCTTTCTCTTTTCCTCTACTGTATCTCCCTCTTTCACAAAGTTCCCAATTGAGCCAAAGTTGTGTGTAAATACTTGCTTTATTCTTAATTAGCTAACATTAGTGCATTAGGGTGTCCTTTCCTCTTTTATTCTTAGCTGGAAGTGTAAAAGCAGTATAGAGAGGTAGTATGTGTCATGATGTTTATTCTTGATATTTTTACAGTTAGTTTTGTCTTTTCAAGTGTTATGACTAAGAATCATTACACAGTTGTTAGGTAATGTGTTTTTTTTTTTTTTGTGTCTTGTCATGAAAGAATTTTTTTTTCTAGCTTTTTCTTGCCATATTTTTACAGATGTTACTTCCAAAGAAAACTAGAAAGTATTCAGAGCAAGAAAAAAATAACAAGTGTTCCTTTTTTTTTCTGTTCCTATTATTGTCTTTTTCTCTGTATCTTTTCTTTCCCCTTTTTATTGTTTTTCTTTTTCCTTCCCTTTCTCTCTCTCTCTCTCTCTCTCTCTCTCTCTCTCTCTCTCTCTCTCTCTCTCTCTCTCTCTCTCTCTCTCTCTCTCTCTCTCTCTCTCTCTCTCTCTCTCTCTCTCTGCCATCCGTCTCCCTCTTTCTTGCTCTTACTTTCTCTCTCTCAGTACCTATATATGAAATAATAGAACTATCAAACAACTGGTTAGTTCTGTATTGATGAATTTCTTTTGTATAGAATATATCATCACTGCCTATTTGTATTAGTACAGTTCAGGAGTATTAGTGTTAGGTTAGGTATATGGTGCCAAATTAGTGTAATGTTAATTTTTTATTGACATAATTATTGTTATGGTTATTTATTTTATTTTGTTTATTTTTTCTTTCATTTTCTTTTTTTTATGAAGTTGATTTAAACCAGTATTTTTAAAGCTTTGTGTTGTCTAATGATTTTATTTTATTCTTATATATATATATTTTTTCTCTCTTTTTTTGTCTCTCTTTTTCTATTTTTCTTTCTTTTTTTTTCTTTTTTTTTTTGTGAGGGAAAGTTCCTGATAAAGGGAGGCGCAATGAACTGCCTCGTCATGAAACTGGTCCCACACAGTCACGCTTTTAAACGCTTTGCATTTTGATTGTCTGTTTTTGATGTGTAAAAATTGTATTAAGTTTAAGTAAGGTTCAGATTGGATAAATTGTTTGGTTTTGGTAGAAGTCATGTCCGTCGGTTGGGTTTGGTTGACTTGCACGTGGCTATTGATCAAGTTGCGGTCGACAGGAAAGGGAAGACCGGCCGATCCTTGCCGTCTTTTATGGTACCAGAATCAGACAAATTATCGTGGACTACCTATTTTTCTTTTATTTTTTTCTCTCTTACTTCATAGTTAGAATTAGACCAAATAAAAGTTGTCTTCTCTCTGTTGTGAATTACAGAACTAAGAATGGGATACCCACACTTCAGGTTCTCAATATGGCAAACTCTCAGAATTTTGGAGACGTCTTCCAAAATTATTTGTTATCTCTAAAAATCTCCGTCATCCAGCCAGATAAAGATTTTACCGCCGCAAATATAAATACGATACTGGTCTGTGGGTGTCATCATCTAGCTAAAAGAAATGAATTTATATGTGTTTTTATTAACTGTAGCATTGCCTGTGTGATTGTAATTCTTTGTGTATTTCCGAGACAATGAAGTCTAGCCGCTGAAAACAATGGGTGCTAAAGTAGTGCTAAACTTAATGTTAGAAAAAAAAATACTAACCATTTATGTTAGGTCAAAATTTTTGATTTATACAAATAAAATATTTAAAAAAAAGCAAAACAACACAAAAAAAATATGTCAGTTCAATGTTGTTGTTGATTCCAGACATGATGTAATTGCTACTGGTTTGAGTACAAGAGGGTTTTGTTCCATTTTCCAAGGATTGCTTACTACTGCATTTATCTCCATGTATTTGTACCATTACTGAGTTGATTTTGTATTGTGTTTTCATCTCTACCTTTTCGCTTTTCTTTTTCCTCTAGCCATAAACCACTTTCTATTTTATTTTCACTTTTTCTCACTTTTTCTCTTTCTATTACTCTCTCTCTCTCTCTTTATATCTATTCTCTCATTTTCCCTTTTTTTTCATTTTCCCTCTCTCCCTTCTTTCCACCTTTCTCCCTCCTCCTCTTTCTTTTGATGTTATTCTTTCTATCTCTGTCAGTGCCATCTTAGATAATGGTAATGTTAACAGCAGTATTGTTATCATTATGTATATATGCAATTCTCCTTTCTTCTCAATATTTCAGCATTCTTGACAATGTCATTTGTGTTTGCAACTTCTTTCATAGTTTTGAATAGAGAGAAGCCCCTGATTACAATCAAGCAGTCACAAAGATGTAAGTTTATTTTTCAGGATTAATTACATAAAAAAATAATAATAATTTTCTTTCATTTTTTTTATACAAAATATGCAGTAATTTCACCCCATCAAAGAGAACACAAAATGCAGTGGCAAGAGACATTGCAAAACCCTACAGAAGGTTCGGTGATTCGTAGGGAAGAGAGAGTAACGGATGTATACAAAGTGCCTTTTCTTGACGTCTGAAAGTGTAGATATTTTTAATGTACTAGTTGCCAGTATTGAACAAATCATTTAGTCGTGTAAGATTTTTATTTTGTTTTGTCTTTTTTTTTTATCTCTTTCCTTGATGCCGTATCTCTTGGAGGCTCAAGTTGTTTATTGTTTTTAATTTTTTGTTTATTTTATCTGGGTAATAGCCTGTTACTGAACAGAAAATGGTAAAATGGCTTTCAGTATATGATTTTAGTGGTCAAATGTCATCATTGTAGATACTAAATTGTTAACTTTTTATCTTTCAAATATCTGTAAGAATTAAGGTGTTTTTCCTTGTTTTGATTTTTATTTACAAGTAGGATTACAAGCTGGTAAGAATGTAAATTAGATTCAATCTTTGCAAATCAGCTTTCCTAATGTTTATAAATGGATGTGTTTTTATGAAGCTTTAAATGTATGTAAAAATATATTTGATACAGTTTTCTTTTTTTCTTTTTTTTTTTTTTTTAGTATTTGTGATTACTTCTTAATTTTTCTCAGAATTCTGGATTTCATCTCAAGCCTGATGATCATTATGCAACATTTGTAATGATTTTGTAGTGGTAATGATGTTTGAAGTATTATTTTAAAAAAAGAAGATATGGACTTAATATGATCAATCTTAAGAATCAAAACTTTTGCCTCCTATGTACACCGGATTTTGAAGTTTAATTAACAATGATAATGTAATAATCTAGATGCAATAAACTTGAGAAACTTATGTGTGTATGTGGATTTGCTTCCCTCTTGTGGGATAACCTAGATATGATGGAGTACTTTCTAATAGCTTTGTTTTTCTCGTTATTAGGCGTATAGAAAAAAGTTTTCATTGTTTGTTTTTATATTTTATTTTTAGGCAGTCAGATTATAATATGCTAAAAACCTTGAAGCTGGTAAGCAGGTAAACAATATTTTCAATAGAGAGCAAGAAAAAATATATATATAGAGAAAAAAATATATATACAAATTTATCAAATTATATTCCAAAATCTCATCACTATTGCAATAGAAACCTGACAACAATAACCCTCCCAAAGTAACTGAGATAAAGTAAGATCTGGGGATACAAGGAGACCCAGTGGCAAGATCTGCCGATACAACGAGACCCAGTGATAATTGGCCGAAGAAGGGTTGTTTTTTTTTTAGTTAATAAGAGCATATTTGTGGCTAAAGAACCCAGCTCTAAATGCAGTGAAAGTTGGATTGTCGGGTCATTGAGTGTAGGGTCATCTTTTCCGATGGTTGGGTCACACGCGTGGGCGGAGCTAAGCGGCGT